TCGCCCGCCGTATCGCCGCGACGCCAGCTCCGCCCTCCCATCCAATCATTTTTTAAAAGGTTAAAAAATTCAAGATGGGTAGCCATGATAATTTGCAACAGCAAAAATGATATTATAGCATCCTGAAGATTATGCTGTGTCATTAGCATTTTCGGTCACATGTGCATGCATGGAATTTTGAGATCACATTATTGGCACAGTCACAAAATGGATGCCATGGAGTGGGAGTCTGCTGATTCACAAAATAGTTATGGCCTTCATTATAACCTATCACAAAACTTCCATTTAACAGATGGCAGGGTTTCCTTCCAATCCGTGCAAAACCTCAGAATGTTTCCTACTACCCTCACCTTACTTTTGTCTTTTTTGTCTGGGCAGCCAGGCATTTGTTCAAATAAGATAGTGGGCTGCATCTCTGTATAATCTAAGAATACTTAAAAGTCTATATGTGGCCCAGAGAAATTCTTATACCTAAAGATTTTGTTGGAAGTTGGTGATTTGCTCCATCAGAATGATAGTTCTTCTTTTCCTTTTCCTTTTAATTTACAAAATGTTTTGTTTGTAAGAAGAGCAGGAACACTGCAGGCATTAAGGAACATGCTATGAAGACAGAGGTTCCCATGGGCACCACAATGTATAATCCAGATATAAACTTTATGGAGTTATATCTAAAAATCTGAAGTGTTGTTCTGAGCATACTCAAGGGAATACTTAATGCATCTTATGAAGATGAGCGTAATCCATAAAAACATAGGCATAATCTTTAAGGCAGCACAAGACTCTGGGTTGTAGGTAGTATTGTCCTAAACAGGAAAGTGCAAAAGATAGCATTGACTTTCTACTGGTTGCTCAACCTTTAGTGGAATAACTACAAGCAATATATAATGTAATCATGTCATAATTGTGCAGGCAGGCTCAACAGTGGCTATGGCAGTTGCACAAGGATGAAAGTGGAACTGAGACACATGAAAGAAACTTTGCCCTAATGGAATGAAACTATGGGGTATAACATTTTGTTTAAAAAAAACATGATGTTAATACAGATCCAACTCCCACTCTTGTAGGATGTTAGAAGCATCCTGATCAGGGATCCTGGATGCTATGAATATCCTATGCAATAGCCTTTTTGTGCCCATTTCATTACTCAAGTGCTGATTTTCAGATAGTCAATAAAATCTAAAGAATAATATTGTTTTGGCAGGTTTCAAAGGGAAATCTAAGCCCAATCTGTTGAAACAGGAGACTAGCAGTCTTGCCTGTGGGTTACGTATACTGTTCCGTATGTACATGGATGAAAGTCGCAAAGATGCCTGGGAGGAAGTGCAGCGGCGATTACTAAAGTAAGACTTGTTCACAGCTTTTATCTGGCTGCATAGTATTATTTAAAATTTTAAAGACATACTGAATAGGTTGATTGTCACCAATTACCTCATGTCACTGATGATTTCATTTAGCAAGATCCTTCAAAAGAAGAATTTTGAGAGGTAGATCTAACCCTTCTTTTATTGGGAATGATTTCTATTATTGCTGTTGTGGTTCAGTAAACAGGCATATTATCTCATTCCCTCCTTCTCCTCTTACTACCTACCAATATCTGAAATAATTGACTGCTAGCTTCTGCAAGCATCTTTATTTGAGATGAGACCATCCATTTAATAATCAGTGAAACACTCAATTGCAGATGTACCATGACAGCTTTACAATATGTTAAATTGTTTTGTTCAACTTTTAAGTATGCTATGTTGAAACTACCTCATACTTGGTCTTACTAAAGTGCCTTTAAATGTGTTGGTGTTGAATGGGACTATTGAATCATCTTTCTCAATGTGTGGTTTTTCTGATAAAGATTCTGTTTTGAATATAAGCAATTAAACTTTGGTTTCATCTTGGCATGTTGCTTGTAGCGTCTGCAGGGAAGCTCTCAGCTACTTCCTTACTTTGACCTCAGAGAGTCACCGGGAAGCTTGGACTAGCCTGTTACTTTTATTCTTAACAAAGGTTCTAAAGATAAGTGATGATCGGGTAAGTAAGCATTCTGAACAGGTAGGGCAAGAGTAGGCAATTGTAGTGCCTGTGGACTGCAGTGTACTGTCAGGCAACTTCTGTATTGTCCTCCAGACTCCATCTGATGTTAATATTTTATTAGAAGCCTTTTATCTGAAAGCAAGGCGGGGAGGAAGGGTAGCTGGTGTGCTGTGAAACAAAGCATCAAACTTTACCATGATCTTTATTTACCAAAATGCCTCTGCCCCCTCATGACAACCATTTTGTGATCGTGCCATTGCTATGTTCTCAAAATTTTAAATATGCCCACTGGCCCAGAAAATTCACTTTATCCTGGAATACCTGATGTTGACAACTGATTCTAGGTTTTTTTGTATAAAATTCTTTAACATTGCAAACTGTGAGGCTGAGGAGAATTGGAGTACACAAGTCTGGTTATGGATGAATGTAGAAGTCCTGATTTAACTGCAGATTAAATCACCACATCTGAAAGTTCTAGTAGGTTTGATCTCTGAGCTCTATAAGGTTTAATATTATTTGTTCAATATACATTGATCTCGATCTGTGTTATTTTCTGGAAGATCATTTGATTTGATGAATACAGTGGGGAAAGCAGATAGGGACAAAAGCATATATTAGGACCCATATCTTAGGAATAAGGTACTTGTGATACAGTCATGTGAAAAAGTAAGTCTGCCTCATGTAAAGTTTTTTTTTCTTTTTTAACATATGTTGACATATCAATATTTTACCTTCATTCAAACAGTATATAAAGATAAAGGGGATGTAACTGAACAAAAAAACTGTGAAAAATTGGCATTGCAATCTGTTCAACAAAAAATTTCCTTCTGTGGAAAAAGTAACTAAGCCCTTGCCTCTAATGTCTGGTATTGCCCCCTTTGGCAGAAGCAACCTCAAGTAGGCGTTTCTTTTAACTCTCTGATAAGTCTCTGATATTGACTGGGAGGATTTTTTTCCATTCCTACATGCAGAATTTTTTCAGCTGTGTGATGTTTCAGGGGTTTCTTGCATGCACAGTCCTTTTCAAATCACCCCACAGCATCTTGATGGGATTTGGATCCAGGCTTAATTTGGCCATTCCAGAACTCTTCATTTCTTTTTCTTTTTTTTCAGCCATTCCTTGGTGGATTTACTGGCACATTTGGGGACACTGTCATGTTGCAAGGTCTGCTTTCAATTGAGTTTCAATTTTCTGACAGAAAGTCTTACATTATCCTCAAGCACCTTCTGGTACAATGAAGAATTCATAATGGATTCTGTATTGTTAAGCTTTCCAGGCCCTGATACAGCAAAGCAGCCCCAAGCCATAACATTTCCACCACTATGTTTTACAGTTGGTATCTGGTTCTTCTGGTGAAATGCTGTCTTTGGTTTTTGCCAAACACGTCTTCTGGTACTGTGGCCAAATAACTCTATCTTTGCTTCTTCTGTCCAGAGCACATTGTTCCAGAAATCCTGGGGTTTGCCTTGGTGTTCATGGGCAAACTTTAGTCTTGTCCTAATGTTCTTTCTGGACAGCAAAGGTTTCCTCCTGGCACACCTCCCATGTAGATCTAAGTTGTGCAGCGTCTTTCTAATGGTAGACTTGTGCATTTTGACATCAGTAGTGGCAAGAGCTACCTGTAGGACACATGATGAGATTCTGGGATTCTTAGAGACTCTTTCAGCATCTTGCATTCTGCTCTCGGGCTGAACTTGCTGGGATGGCCTGGCCTTGGCAAGTTGGCAGTTGTTTGAAATCTTCTCCATTTGTAGATGATCTTCTGGACAGTGGAATGATCAATACCCAATGGTTTGGGAATCTTTTTAAATCCCTTCCCAGACTCATAGGCATCAATAAACTTCTTTCTGAAGGCTTTAAAGAGCTCTTTCCATCTAGGTATGGTGATACCACTCACTTCAACAACAAAGAGCAAATTAAACTAAATGTCTGAGTTTTCAATTGGAGAAGTTCCTCCCAGATCCTCTCTAACAATGATCTAATAATTTGTAACTAATCTGGTACACCTGATTATAATTTTAGGTATTTGAGGTAGTGATAAATGTAGAGGTGACCTTGCTTTTTCCACATGGAAAATGCATGTGTATGTTTATTTAAGTTACACAATGGACTATAAAATGTATAAATGGTGCATGATATTTGCTACATTATATCCCCTTTATTTATCAGTATTGTTGAAATGAAATTCAAATACCTGTATGCTGAAATAAGTTGAAAACAAAAAATTTCAGTGAGATGTACTTAATTTTTTCACATGACTGTATGTTAGACATTGTTGAACTATTGTTGCTGAACTACTACATTGCAGAACTACTGTACAGTTCCCAGCAGCACTAGTCAATATGACCAATAGTGAGGAATATTAAAATATCTAAAGGAGTGTGTATTCCCATTTCCTACCATATTCTAGTATCATGTATGCATAATGCATCCAGGTTAATTGGAAAAATGGGAAATGCATTTTCATGTGTTTCAGTTTATGCTCAAGTACCCTGTCTGAAGCCTCTATGAGAAATCTTATTCTGGCCTTTTTAAGAGACACTAAATAGAAAGGATCTCATGATTCTTTCTCTGGGAAAAAAGAATAATGAATAGCAAATCTGAACCAGTTTTTGTAGGTGTTGGAGTATTGGGCTTTTTTTTTTTTTTTTGCATTTGAAATATAGCTATGGTACATCCCTTGTTGTGATGGAATGTGAGGGTGACCTTGAAATCCAGGGGGAGGTGGGAAGAGATGCTGCCTAGGGAACGATCAGATAAAAGAGAAAGGAGTCCGCAACAGAGTAATGGCTAGAGAAAACACTTAGAAAGGACCCACCCTAACTACGCAGGCAGTAAATCGGGAAGTCAGGAGATTGGTACTTTCAGACTTGCAAGATTCTGTTAATGTAGTCTTACAATAAAGTAGAATTAGCTCATCTAGTCATGTTTCCTGTCTGGTTTACTTTGGGAGGGCTGACACTTGTAGATTCTTCTGCGTCACTAGTAAATCAGTCCTAGCTTTTTAGTCAAAGCTCCAACGTTGGTGGCCACAAACCCCTCTTGAGCTCAAGCTAGAAGGAATGAGGATGGACATTTTCCCTTCTTTCCAGGGATGGAGGCCATTTTTTCTTTCTTTCATTACAAACCACAGGTCAGAATTGTCATTAACTAGCTTTAGGGCTGGCTCCCCTCCAGTGTTGGGGAGTAAAAGCATTCCAAACCATTCATGCCATTTGTCCTTCTTTTTCCTCTCCTGGTATCAGTACTCCAGTGCCAGTAAGACCATACAGTTTTTTCTTCAGGAGATGAGATGAGGGTTCTGACATCTAAACAACTCTTAGTGTAGTGTTTGATTTGGTGTATTTAGTCATGCCAAGAAGTTATTGTCTAACAGAATTCTTTTTCCCCCTCTCAGTTCAAAGCCCATGCATCATTCTACTATCCTCTTTTGTGTGAAATAATGCAATTTGAACTGATTCCTGAGCTCCGGGCTGTTTTGCGAAGATTTTTTCTACGGATTGGAGTTGTTTTCCAAATATCTCAGCCAGCAGATCAAGAAGAAGATGTAGCCAAGCAGTAGAAACATAGCTAAGGAAACAAAGAACCAAATCAACTTGCACTGGATATTCATAATGAGGGTCTCTATACAGCAGTGTGTGCATCTACAGGTTCACAATACAGAGTAAAGCTGTAACTTAGGCTTGCAAAACTTTAATACTCCAGTGGATTTTTCTTCCTCCCTTTCCTGGCTTATGCTGAGCATTGAGCCAGTTTTAAACAGTCTTATTGTCAGCTTGGGCTGTGATGTCTTCTTATTCAGACATACATACGTATATACATACATAAGTGTATGTGTGTGTGTATGTTTATGATGGCTGTGAACTTAAGATGTGTACCCAAAGAACTAACACTTAAAAAGTTTGAACTTCCATAGGAGTACAACTCAGGAGAACTGTATTTGAAAGAAAGGTTTGTACTAAGAGAAGAGAAAAATATTGGGCAAGGGAACAGATCTAGCAACTGTGTGGAATTCTTATTCTGGAAAAAAAAAAAATCTGCACACTCAGACTGTCTGAGATATAGGTAATCATTCTTCAGTGAAAAAAACATAGAGTGCAGGTCTGTAATATAAAATTACAAACACTATATAGTTCTTCCTGCATTCTTTTATTACTTCATAGAAACCCATGTTTGTTTACCAAATGCACTAGTCTGAGGTTATGTTGTGATTGATTTGGTCTGTATCCTAAAAGTTAGTCTTGCTAACTTTAGTGAAGGGCAGAGATTGAAAAAGTCACAACTGGCTTAACTGTTTGTAATATACCTGTGATAGGGCTTTTAAATATAATAAGCCATCGCAACGATCCTTCTGGACTGGAACTTGAATCACTGCAAATGAGTCTAGGTTTTATCTTCTGTCACCTTTTTGGGGGTTGTTTGATGTAGATTTCACTCTGTGTACAGAATGTAATGTTAAATATATTCAAGTAACAAATCTGGCATGGTTTAGGGATGGTTTTAAATTTATTGGAAATGTATTCATACTGTGAATTGTGCTCTGATGGTTAAAGAAAAGATTGTCAAGCATTCTGTCTTAAAGTGGATGTAGAAAATTTTTTCAGATGGAAAAATGTATATGGTACAGCTCTGTAAAGTTTTCTATGTAAATTCTGTACAACTTTCTGTACAATATTGGTTCTCATCTGGCATATTCTAATCAGGTTATAAGTCAATAAAGTTTTTGAATTCTTTCATCGGTGCAATGAAAACCAATGCAATGTAAAACTACTTGTGTTAATGTTCCAAGAATCTTAAAAGTTTAACAATGATGGTTAACAGTGTCTGCTGAAGCAGACTGCCTTCAGCATCTTTGGAAGTAATTAAAGAATTTAACTTATTCAAGTATCATTCCTTCTATTTTCAGTTCAAATCTTCCTATGTTGGAAGAGCTGGAGCCAGATCAAGATCTAGGACAGTATTCTGTGCCACACAGGGGCCCAGTTGGATGCATTTGGTAAACTAATCCCCTTCCACTTCTGCTTCCCAGCAGCCAGTACATAAAGCGTGCCAATTATAATTTAGAAACTAGTAAGCCCAATTTATGTATGCTGGGATGTATGCTATTCAGTCATTTGCAGTGGGAGCAGCATAAAAGCCTGCAGCCACTGATAACCTAATCCTCCATAAAACTGTCCAGTCCCCTTTTTAAATAATCCAAATTGGTCACCATTAAAACTGCAGGCAGTGAATTCTGTTTGTTTATGTGCTGTACAAAGGAGCATTACCTACCTTCTGCCAGTCCAGAATCTCCCTGCATTGAGTTTCAGTGGATGGCCCCAAATCTGAAGACTCTGAGGGAGTGAGAACTACACTGCCTCATTAACTATGGCATTCATGAATTTATATAACTCATATTTTTCTGTGGCCTTTTTAATAATTCCAACGATGGGTCTTTTTTTCCACCACAGTAGCTGTACACTGAGTTGACATTTTCATCTAGCGGCCCACTGTGATTCCAAGATACCTCTTCTGATGAGGCACTGCCAGTTCAGAACCTTTTATTGAAGGTACTGGGGTGGGGGGTGGGGGGTGTACCATTTTACACCACTGAGCTGCATTTGCCATTTTAAATCAACCCAGTTTAGAGTGATCCTTTTGGAGTGCTTCACAATCAGTTGTACATCCTCAGAAAATATGGTCATTTCATTACCCAGCCCTAACTACAAATCATCTCTATACAAGTTGAAAAATATCTGCCCCAACAGAGATTTTTAGGGAACTAGCTATGTATTGCTGATCAGTGGAGAATTGCCTCTTTAATCCTTTTTTGTTTTTGAACTAGTTATCAATCCACAAGAGTACCTGTCTGATACAGCAGCTGGATTTGCTGTTGTTGAAAATCTAATTATACTATACTTCCTGAGTCACACATGTCCACATGCTTGAAGTATCTAGGGTAATGAGACCAGACTTACTGCTATAAGAATCATTTTCATGCCTTTTAACAGTGCTTGTTCTAAGTTTGCTTATTTTTTTCAACCATTTTCAACCATTTTCCCTAGAACGTACGTTAACTGGCATGTAGCTTCCTTTATTGCACTACATTGTTCCTAATCCTCAAGAGCAGATAATTATGTTGACTATTGAATTGAAAAGGAATTGTTAATTGAAACGGAAGCTCAATATTTCTGGGGGGGGGGAAATCAGAATTTATTTTATTCACACATGTTCTTTAAGAACTCTTGGGTCATCCTGAAGAACATGGTATTTTCTTAAGAAGAATGAATCCAGGGATACACTAATTACCTCGTATCATTTAGATATGCAGCAGCTGTGAATGAAGGTTATTTTCTACCTCTTCATTTGTACCTTATGAATCCGGATGGATTCTGACAAACACTTGGAAAATTTGTTAGTAATCTCACGAGCAACTATTTCTACCCTCTGCCTTCTAGAAAGAGGCAGGGACTTTCCTGTCTGCTTTAATTTGAGGATCAGTGGGAGAGAATCAGCAATATAGAAAACCAACTCTCAGGAATTGTACACAACTGGTTGGCCTGCTAATAGCAGGCTACAGCAGAGAAGGCTGTGTAGTAGCCAAAGAACAAAAAGACCATGGGAAGGAGCAATACTGGGATCAGCATGATTGGCCATCCATAAGGACTCGGCTCAGTGAGGAAGTGATGACTTCCACAGGTAAATAAGTAGAGCAGATGAGGCAGTAGTGATGCCAGCAATGAGCCCACCTACAAAATGGCAGGACTGAAGGCTGCCTTGAACTGACCCCCCCCCCGCCCCATGCAAAAGTCTCTCCAATAGCCAGACAAGAAATAAGACCACGCCAATACTGCAACTCTCTGGCAGCTGAGCAAGACTGGTAGCTTCATCATCAGATAAGTTGGCTTATTTATCATACAGACCAGAAAATGCAGTGCAGCAGCTTTCCAGGCTGTGATGAGAACAAGACTGCTGGATCTTTGTTGGCAGTGTAGTAATAAGAAATCTAAGGGATTTCAGATGGGACAGAAGAGTGACCTTACTCCGAGAAAATACTAAGTCCCTTGAGAAAGCTGTAGTATCTCTCTTTCCTCTTGGCTCTATATCAGATGACTGAGACTTGCTATGAAGTACTTTTTGGCCCCCAAATGAAGGACCCAACAATCCTACCCTATTTGGAAGGGAAATGATTTAGCAACCAATGAACTTGCCAAGGATTGAAATACAAATTACTGTATTTTGCTATGGCATTATTCTTCTGTTCCCCTGTATTTTTTACCAATGACAAGTGTTTGTTGCTACAATGAAATATTCAATAAAGGAGAACTGCATTCGGGTGAAAGATGGGGGGGGGGGATTTAAGCTTTGCCTAGAATAGTTAACACTTTTTTACCCAGGTCCATCTTTCAGTGACTAGAAAGTTACTTCATGGTATCTTTTTCTACCCATCCAACCTTCCAGATTCCACAGTTGGGAAACTGATTCTTGTTGGGAAAGAACCCACCTTAATAGTATGTTACATATACTATTACAGTATTATATAGTATATGTAACATATAGTAAAATACCTTGCAGAGTTACAAAACAAAAAGGAATTTCTGTTGATCAGGCACTGCAGCTTTGCCTTCAAGCCAGTAACATTTCTATTTTTTTCCTTCCAAATAAATTTGAAGGGGTTAAGGAAGCAGTAAATCAATACATTTGTACTGGGTTTAATACATTTCAGCCAAAAATTAGTCCCAGAGTGAAACTCAGCCCACATGCCATTTGTACTGCAATAAGAGAGAAGCATCATCAAGGAAGCTCCAGAGCTTTCACTATTAAAGGCAATTTATTCATTTCACAAAATACCCATCTTCACAAATACTTCATTAGAATCCTGATAAAAATATAATTTATTTTGTCATTTTAAGTCATGACCATAAATACATTTATAGAATTCACTATTGGCATTTGAACACACACATATACATATAAATATAAAACAGCACTTTAGCAATTTAGAACAAATGATTGGATAAGACTTGTGGGTTAGAAGTAAAGCAGCAATAAATTTAAATCTTGGGTAGTCCCTAAATATCTATTACATGTCTAAGAACTCTAAGCCACAGTATTTTATTTGATTACATTCAGGTCATATTTCTCAATCTTGCAGCAGTCTGAGGTAATTTTTCAAAGAAAAAAAATAATCCAGAAATAAACTTGAAAATGTTGCCCCAGTACCATTAAATGTACATTAAATTGTACATTTAGCTATATTCTGAAGCTGTCATGGAAATTTACTATAGGAGTATATTTCCAAATTCAGATCCCATCAGTAATGTATTGACAATTGAACAAAGATAGGAACTGTTTTCATAATCACCTATGAATATAAAAGTGCAGCAGTAGAGAAACTCTTGAAAGGCACAAACGGCTTTAACACAGGTTTATTTAACCATGGGCAGTTGACAGCCCCTGCCAATTGAATGTTATGCTCTTCTCAGAAGTCGGTTTAGCTTGACTTGACTGCTCAGCCATGAATCTTTTAAGGGTTTCTGATGTCCCAGGTCTAAGCCACGGCTCAGTTGCCACAGAGTCAACCGAACTGGATCTTCTGCCATGTTTAGGAGGTAATTCCTTCAAGATGTCAACACCATTCCCCAGTGAAATGTCATCAGCTTCAGGAAGAGAAACTAATTTTAGTATATGAAGTCATACTTGGTATCCTAACATGTATTTCAGTAACCAAATTACTCATTCTGAAGTATTACATGAGGCTTCTGTAGAGTAAAAATGGAGCAGGTCCAGCGCAACTGTTGCCCAATTGCGATACTTCAGATTTCAAATATTTCCTTATTCAGGAGTCACTGGTGAAATAACACGTTATTTGACACAGAGAGATGGGAAATTGTGGCTTCTTCTAAGGTAAGTATGAGAGTCATTGAGACCAATTGCATACTGTGCCCTACACAGCACCAGAGGAAGCTACTCCCTTTTTTGCCATATTTCTTATATTAGAGATACAGTGGTACCTCGGGATACGAACGCCTCTACTAACGAACTTTTCAGGTTACAACCAGCT